CAGGAGGAAAACGCTTAACGAGAGACTTTGTGCATTGCGTTCATATTCTGCTGTTCTGGTCACGGATTTGCGGGTCTTGTCTTTTTCTTGCAGGACCCTGTACGTTATTGTACTAAATTAGTTTTAATCGTTTAATCACCACCACAGCTTCTTGTCTCCATTGGCAACACACACGATTTGTGTCAATTGCAAGTGACGTTGCAAGTGTCTGAGAGTGCAAGTCTGAGAGTGCAAGCGTAAGGCTGCAGCCAGACCCTTCTCACTATTTCAGGTAGATTATTAAATCACCACCACAGCTTCTTGTCTCCATTGGCAACACACACGATTTGTGTCGATTGCAAGTGACGTTGCAAGTGTCTGAGAGTGCAAGTCTGAGAATGCACATCTGAGAGTGCAAGCGTAAGGCTGCAGCCAGACCCTTCTCACTATTTCAGGTAGATTTGTGAAGTGTGGATCCGTGCACACTCTGATGGCTAATATTACCCACAATCCATTGCGCTTTGACGAATGATTCTGTTCAGAACTACAAACACAAATAAAAAAACTACAAACATGGCGGATGTGCGCGACCAAGGGGCAACCTCCCGCTCTCTCTCTTGTGAAGCCAACAAGGAAGTCGCTGCCGCCTCTTTGCCCATTTTCGATTATCTGGGAGTGACGCGCGGTGACGCGCTGCCAAGATGGCGACTAACTTGGCCATTAATTTTAAATGCATCATTATGCAAAAAAATATGAGCAGAGTTCTCTGCATAAAGACCCACGGCTGGCAGATCAACATGCTACTTCATTTCTCTCCGATATGGTAGAAAGTTAAATGAATTAAAATGTGGAGGATGTTAACTGTGACAAGATGATTGACAGGCCAGTTTACAGTGACAGGATGCGTGTAATTATGCGACAGAGCGCTCCGTTAAAGACGCAATTGTATGACGTTATACTATGTCCCAAAGCTTGCCTACTCTTCTACTACACACTCAAAAGTATGTACTTTTTCTTCACCAAAAGAGTACATACTTTAAGGGCGTAGTATAAGTAGGCACATTGGGACGCAGCATTTTTTTGGAATGCACTTCTGCGTCACCTTAACGAGACGATCAAGGAGGGGCCTTCGTCACACATTTTGTACACTGGTTGAATCGTCTATACATACATTTATAGGTGAAGTTGAACTCTGTGACGCCAAACAACTTCCCTGTGCAAAGAATCGTGGGGGCCTGAAGTGTCCATCAATTGCACCCTTTCGAAATCCTTCATTCCATAGGGCCCTTTGAAGTGGCCAGTTTTGAGCACTTCGGTTTGGAACGACCCTTCAATATGGCGGCCATGATTGTTTTCACTCCGAAGTGCCCTTCGGAGGGCGATATATCCCATTTGGAACGCACCGATGAGGTGCTTCTCAGTATCCCTCCTCATTTCCTCCACTCCTCCGTCCTCCATCCTATGGCCCGGAAACCGATCGCGCTCAGCCGCACCGCGAGGAGGCGAGGACAGAGGAGTGAGGAGGCTTCCTGAGGAGTCATGAGCGAGGATACACAGGTGTATCCTTTGCGGAAGTGTTTTTCATCGAAAAAACTGATGCACGATTAAATTCTCCTCCCCCTTCACATCTGTTGTAATAATTTTCATTTACATTTTACCTTTGCAGTTTAAATAACCATAAATGTCATATATTTAAAACAGGGCATCTTGCTTTATTAATATTTATTATGAATGTCTTAAATAACAAACTTTAACAACATAAGGGCAGATCCCTTTAGCGCAGCTGATGATGCTTTGAAGTGACGCTAAAGGGAGTGAGGATATATCATTTCACTTGGGGTGCTTCTCAATTCTTATTTGTGCATCCTCGATTCCTTTCCTCGCGTCTTAGCTCCACCCCTTCAGGATGCGAGGGAAGGACGCAAGGAAAAGATGCAAGGACAGAGGAATTGAATCATATTTTTCTTACAAAAAAAGCATAGATTCGCTACAGGAGGCCTTTATTCACATGGAATGAGTTTGACTACTTAATCAGTTATATTAATAGAAATGCTTCACTGTAGCAAACAAAAAAATCCTAAAATGATAAATAGGATACCCCATAGCAGCATTTCCAGCAGTATCCAACATTTCTCAATCATGATCTTACTCAGCTAAATGTGACTATTAGCTTAACAGCTGTATTCCTTGTTTGCTAGCTACCTATGCACATACAGCATACAATGTTAAAAATGTTCTACATTATGAACCTTAACCCAAAAACCTTTAGCTTCATACACTGTAGATAATTGTGACCCTGCCTGTGGAAACCCAGCTAAAGTATTTTTTTTAAACAGTGGATGAGTAATTCACTCATTGATTTGCTTAATAAAAGCCTTCTTTGAGATCGTTTTGACAGACAT